TGCCACCACGTGCCCCCCCACGGTAGCCTATAGCAACCTGTTGTGCACGAGGTGTGCACGAGGTGTCACTCGTACACACCTCGAGGTGTCACTCGTACACACAGCACCGTCCGGTCTCAAGCCTGCTTAGCTTCCGAGATCTGTACGATGCCGGGCCGCGTTCCGGGCGATCTGATCGTGGCAATCTACTAATAAAGAACGAAAGCTTTCGCGACTGCATAAATTACTCGTTGTTTTTTTTTTCGGTAAAGTCACGTATGTAGAAATACCATAACATTATGTTAAAATAAATCAATCACGACGTTTCGACCGCAACACAAGCGATCTTCATCAGGTGTAAAACAACAAACAGCGAGGGAGCACATAGGGTGACATCAACGCAACACATAGATAGCGTTAGACTGCACGGAGGTAAATACAACAACAAGATGAGAGACGATAATTTTTTATTAGGTTTGTTAAATTCTCGTCTCTCATCTTGTTGTATTTACCTCCTGTGCAGTCTAACGCTCTCTATGTGTTGTGTTGATGTCACCCTATGTGCTATTTGTTGTTTTACACCTGATGAAGATCGCTTGTGTTGCGGTCGAAACGTGATTGATTTATTTTAATATAATTTTATGGTATTTCTACATACGTGACTTTACCGAAAAAAACAATGAGTACTTCTGTACTGTTTGCCTTTCGGCGTTCTCTGGTGTGACACTGGTGGTGAGACAAGGCCGTTCAGAGGGCTGTCTCTGGCGTAGGCCAATCAGCTTCAAAGACAATGCATACACTTATCAGAGCACATTTGTTTCCATGTTTTGACACAAGTATGTGTGGCTAATGCAGACTGGATGCCTTAAGGTGGCGTTCGGACATCTTAACACCCGTTTTATTGCCAGAAAGGGTTAAACCTATTCTTATTTTGTTTATGACTTCTCTTAAACTTGATCGTCATCGTCAAAGGCAATGTATTTTTTGTGCAGCAAACTTCCCTCCTTAATTTTCAGTCCAAAAATGTTTTGATCCAATACCAGTGACGTCACCACAAGCGCCTGTGCCATGCCAAGTGCACTCCGAGGCCACGTGGAGTGTCAAAGGCTCGCTGCTGGCAGGAGGTCACGGGACAGACCCAGCAGGTGCCATGGGTTGACCGACTGAGATGACTGGCAGATGCACCACCAGCTGTGACCCCAACTGTGCCAACCACTCTCTCCCACCCACACACATTGCTGTGTGCCCCCCACCAGCCTGTGTGCCCCCCACCAGCCTGTGTGCACCCACATGCCGCGATGGGCTTTGGCCAAACATTCGAGAGTCCGCGGTCTCCCACCCTGGAAGACAGGCTGAGAAATCGCACAACTTGGCCCGGCCATTTGATCACAAGATATGACGGCGATGTTTGAGGTCGAGTGCCAACGACGATGAGAAGGCCGGGTGGCATGGCAAGCACGCAGAAGGTGGGTTAAGGCGGTACCTGTACGTCCTGGCTGGCGTAGCGCAAGCGCTTCAAGTACATACTGCAGGTATTTTATACGGTATTTACGTATGTATTGTCGCAATGCAAGAAATATGTACACGAACGTTTACGTGTGGATGTATGCGGTGCTGCGATGTAATGCGTACTTAAGAGCGTGTTGAGTAACACGTGTGTTATATGTGTCCTGTCTATGTATGCAGTGTAGCAATGTAATGCATTGATTGTACAATGCAGGAGTGTGACGGTTAGCTCGTTGCACTATGAACCCGAAGACCAGAGTTCGACTCCTGCTCACGGCCAACGCCAGTGACGATTGTCTTAACCGGTTCTGGGTCTCCCCTAGGTTGACTCAGCCTCAAATGAGTACCTGGTGCGGTGTGTAAACATTGCGACTATGGAGACAAAGGCGGCTGTGCTGGTCACCCAGCCTTAATAGGTACTCGCGAATGGTAATTGTCCCAAAGGTCTATTTTGGGATCTTTGTCTGTATTTGTGTGATATAAGGCATCAATCACCTGGCACTAACTGATCTCATCAGATCTCGGAAGCTAAGCAAAGTTGAGCCTGCTTAGTACTTGGATGGGTGACGACCATGCATGTATGTCTTATTCGTTAGCCAAAACATGTTTTCTTTGGCGGGTGGGGGGGGGGGGGAAATCACTATTTTACTGTGCTGGCTCACAGTGCCTCCCCTATGTTCCAGCAGTAAACAAAATATACCTGGCTGGCTAAAGAAAAAAAGGTTCGAGTGGCTTTGAAGTGTGATGTACTGTTCTACCGCGAGTGAAATCCGCGGGCCGGAAGAGGTCACGTTGCATCAAACAGCAACAAAAACACTTGTACTGTACTGTACTTCTATGATCCCCCCCCCCATCTCATGCTCCAACCGCTAAAACCCATACCCGCCCCATCCTGGTGAAGTAACCCGTACGAGCCATGGCCCTCGTCCAGCAGTGGAGTAGGAAAACATTGCCGTGAGCAGACGACGCGCGAGTTGAAAAAGCGACGAGGTTCGATCCCAGGCGTGACGTCACGCGATTTTGGACCCCCCCACCCCTCGTCACACGGCGTCACAAAAAGTCAGACACCCCCCCCCTCAAATATGACGTCACAAAGCTCTGCCCCCCCCCCTCCAAAAAATAAAACATGCTTTAAATCGCTTTAAACTATTGTCATTGTAGTGCGTATTTAATGTGGCCGCTGCACTCTGATGTTGTAGGAGAAAACATTTATTAAAAAGTCTATTTAATTAAGTAGAACATGTTGTCCATATTTATTTAAATTTGCGCATTTTGATGTGACGTCACATTTCTCAACCCCCCCCCCTCCCCTCGTCACAAATGTCTGACCCCCCCCCCCCCCCGGTGCGTGACGTCATTTATGGACGACCCCTAAGAGAAGAACAGCGACCGTGTTCGTAGGGCGGTGAACGTGGCGCCTTGAGCATAGAACGGTGGAATTTCCCGGGATTGGCTGAGAGGCACGGAGGCGGCTGTGTATAGGTGAGCGGCCACTCCCCGTGCCCATTTGAGCAAGAGGGAGAAGGTGGTGGAGGGGGGGGCACACTTTAGCTCGAGAGATTGTGACAAGTAGCAGGACTCTTACTACAGTGGGGGGTAAACGTGTGTACTCACACTGTGCGAGAGGGCATGTTTGAACACGCACGCTCGGAGATGGGTTGAGGCAGAACAAAAGGAGGGGGTGGGGGTGGGAGGTTGTGAGGATGTTGTCGGTGGAGACGGGTGGAAGAACTTGTCCGTCCATTCTCTCAAATTCAGGGTTGGCAGACCCCCCCCCACGCCCCCGCCGGGAATAAAAGTGGCGATGATGTTACATCAAACCCCCCCCCATCCACACCCACCACCCCCCCCCGTGACCACAACACCAGGATTTGAACTCGCAGTTTTATGGGTTGTGAGTCAAGCACCGCCCTGTCTGCTGCAGGGCTGCCCAACCTGATTTGGCTGATGAGATTCGTACCATGTGTTCATGATGATGATGGTACCACTATTAAACTATTACCAGGTGAGGCTCACTGAGCTCTATAACTCTTTTTTTGTCTCAGAAGCGAACTGGCTAACGAAGTTGGCTTAGGGGCCGTCCATAAATGACGTCACGCACCTGGGGGGGCTGGAGGTGAGACATTTGTGACGATGTGTGACGAGGGGGGGGGTGTTTGAGAAATGTGACGTCACATCAAAATGCGCAACTTTAAATAAATATAGACAACACGTTCTACTTAATTAAATATATATTTTATGTTTTCTTCTAAAACATCAGAGTGCAGCGGCACATTAACTACGCACTACAATGACAATAGTTTAAAGCGATTTGAAGCATGTTTTATTTGGGGGGGGCAGAGCTTTGTGACGTCATATTTTAGGGGGAGTCTGACTTTTTGTGACGCCGTGTGACGATGGGGTGAGGGGTCAAAAATCGCGTGACATAATTTATGGACGGCCCCTTATCGTGGTGTGTAAATGTATACTGTATTAACCAATTGCTCTTAAACGCACGTTGTTTCTAAATATGGTGGGGAAAACCCGGAGGACACGGTAAACAAATCCACTCGACCACGGGGAGAGAGAGACACGCAAACTCTAAACCATACAGCAGGCGTCAGGGTCAGGAACCTAACCCACGACCTTCTGTATACCAGGCGAGGTAGTTAACATCTCCTAACCACCGTGATGATGATGAGAGAGAGAGAGAGACGCAGACTCTAAACCATACAGCAGGCGTCAGGGTCGGGAACCTAACCCACGACCTCCTGTATACCACGCGAGGTAGTTAACATCTCCTAGCCACCGTGATGATGAGAGAGAGACGCAGACTCTAAACCATACAGCAGGCGTCAGGGTCGGGAACCTAACCCACGACCTCCTGTACACCAGGCGAGGTAGTTAACATCTGGCCACCGTGGCACCGCAATGCGATAGCAATATCAAAGACTCCGTAGGAGCGGAGGGGGGTGACGGCACTTAGACAGGAACAGCACGAGACATGGACAGATTTGATGCGAAGTTGTCTCGTGTCACGTTAACTCATCAGATCTCAAAAGCTCAGGGGGGGGGGGGTTGAGCCTGGATAACGACTGGATGCTTGACCGCCATGCACACAGCTGGATGTACAGGCTACATTGCGTGCAGCAGAAGGCAATAACAGCACAATCCATTGTTGTACCGTATTTTCTATGCCCCCCCCACGATCTATGCTCCCTGCCTTCACAAACCCGCATCGGCCGTCGTGGTAGTGGCGGCGCGAGCTTCCTCATCCAGCAGTGGATCGACACGAGGTCTGGCTGTGTCGCTGTGGCAGGAACAAACGCAGCGGGAGAGAGCCGGGACAGCCGCTAGCGCCACCCATTGTCATCCTCCACGCCGGGGAGTCAAACCCAGATGTCGCCGGGTTCGCGTCGCATCGCGGGCAACACGCAACCAGTTGACAACCAGACAACAACAACAACCACCAGCAGCAGCAGCGTGAATGCCGGCGTGAGGAGGAGGTGGTGGGTGGGGTGTGTGATGCGACTCACCTCTGCGGTGAGGTTCACCACCCCTGTCGACCTTCTCTTCTCGCGCAGTTTGCGCTTCTCGATCTGACCTTTGCTCTTCCTGGCGCTCGGTCCGGCCGCCGCCGCCGCTGCTGCTGCCTTCTTCTCCTTGACGGCCAACGACGACGACACGGTGATGCTGCTGGCGGTGATGCTGCTGGCGGTGGTGCCGGTGGTGGTAGTGCCGGTGGTGGTGCCGGTGGTGCTGCTGGTGGTGGTGCCGGTGGTGGTGGTGCCGATGCTGGCGACGGCCCCTGCCGCGTCGGCCCCGCCGCCGCCGCCGCCGCCCCCCGTCCTCTCCTGGACCACCGCCGCCGCCTTCCTGTCCGCGGCAGGAGGCTCGGCGAGTCGCCTGCCGGCGGTGGCCCCCGGCCCCGTGACCCTCGCCGTGGCCGCGGGCGCCACGGCGAGCGAGTTGAAGGCGCCGGCGAGACCCGACACGCTCGGGGCGAGGCCACCGCCGGCCTGAGATGTCGCGTCTCCAGGCGCTCCGTTGCGGAGACCACCACCACCTCCTCCACCACCACCACCAAAGGCGGTGGTGGCCGTGGTGGCCGTGGCGGTGGTGCTGCTACTGCTGCTGGACAATCCACCCGCGGGACTCGGCGCTGGAGGAGCTCCCGGAATTCTGGAACGAAGCTTCTCGCGCCGGGCCTTCCACTCCTCCAGGAAATCCGACGCGTTCGGATTGCGGTAGCCGGTGGCCATCGCTCGGGATGAAGTCGCAGTCGCCTTGCACCAAGAGCGGCTGGAGGAGAGGAAAGGGGTCCCTCTCTGCCAAGTGCTGTCGGTGGAGTTGTCGACAGGCGTGCGATCAGATGGATGACGGGTCGTTTGGTGGTGGTGATGGGGGGGGTGTGATGGTGACGCTCGGATGAATTCGTTTTCACGGCTTTCAACCACGGCCGTTGGTGGCGATCAAAGTCACGGCCGTTGGCGATGCAGAGAGTCACAGCCGCCCCAAGAGTCACGGCTGATGGCGATGGACAGGCAGGTCACGGCTGATGGCGATGGACAGGCAGGTCACGGCTGATGGGGGGGAGTCGCGATTGTTCTCACAAGCGGAGTCGCTGGGACCTCGCACGGAGTCACCCGCACGGTGACGGCAGGAGGAAGGCACGGGGCACACGGAGCGTGTTGCCGGCGCATCTCACTTCTTCATCTCCCCCTCCCTACGCAAAACAACGGGGGGGGGGGGGCACAAAACGATTTTAATTTTTTTTAAAGATATTTAAACCACGGCGCCAGGCACTGCGCACGAATCCACGACCACTGCTCTGCGTGCGAAGCGTGAGACGGTAACTCCTCTCCCAGGGGGTTAAACAACAGCGCGCAAGCCAACTCTTAACAACTCTGCCCGAATGAATACACAAAGGAACGAAACGATTAAACCAAGTCTCGGCGTTAAGGAAGGAAAGATAATTAAGTTTTTGGGGTTATTTATTTAATGTGTACATACATCTATACGTGAAGTCGAAAAGCAGTTAGCAAGTGTTCGGCGAGTTGGAGAGCGCAACTCGTGTTGTCAACACGCAGCCACCATTGGCACGTCTCCCGTGTAAATACCGCGCACACAGACAAAGATCCCCCGTACAGCCTTCACAGACTGTTGGGGCAAGTGCTGTCAGCGAGCACCTATGAAGGCCGGCACGGCACACGAGGGGGTGGGTGGCCAGCACCACGCCCGGCCGCCTTTGTCTCCCCGGTGGCGATGTTTACTACACACCGCACCAGGTACTCATTTGAGGCTGAGTCGACCTAGTGGAGGCCCAGGTACCGGTTCAGATAACCGTCGCCGGTGTTGACCGTGAGCGGGAATCGAACTCGGGTCGCCGGGTTCGTTGCGCAGCTGCGCTAAACCGCTACACCACCGCACACACAGACACACACACGCGCGTGTAACACGCGTGTAAAATATACGTTAAACTTATTTATCACCGCACGTAGCCAACCGTACGTGTAAAGACACACGCGTGTAACGCGACACGCAACAACAACGCGCGCGTGCGAACAGCACACAAGAGGCGCAGATGCTCGTCCTGTATAAAACCTGCGCTTCGTGAGCACGTGTTGTGCTGGGCCGGGGTGACTGTAGGCACAGCAGCAGCCTCCCCCACCCACCCATCCACCACTACTTAAACTTAACTTCGCTCGCCACAACGCCACCAAACCCACACGCACCACCCGGGACAATAACACCAAAGCCAGCCCGCTCCCAGCACCTCCTCTTCGGAACTCTCTCCCTCTCTGTATCCACCTCCTTGCTCCTCCTCCTCCTCCACACACGCCACGCAGCCTCTCTTGGCCACAACACAGCCCTTAGGGGCCAAGCAGGAGCCCTCGCGTGAAGGTAGCGACTCTTGAATATGTAGCGCCGTGATGAATTATTCATGAGACGTTTCGGCTGTCGAGGAGGTTTGGGGGGGGCGTGCAGCGAGGCACATTCCACGCGAACGAATTCGCGCAGCCATTTGAGTCTTCCTCCTCCTCCCTTTGCTTTGCTCTCAAAAGAAGCGTCGGGCGGCGCTCGCTCACCCCCGCCCGCCTCCGGTGAAATATGCACGTGCGTGGTGGAAATTCCACGTTCTCGTGACGGGGGGTGGGGGCAAGGGGTCGTCCGTAAATGACGTCACGCGATTTTGGACGATTTTTGACCCCTCCCCCTCGTCACACGGCGTCACAAAGAGTCAGACCCCCTCAAATGTGACGTCACAAAGCTCTGCCCCCTCCCCCCCCCAAAAAATAAAACATGCTTCAAATCGCTTTAAACTATTGTCATTGTAGTGCGTATTTCATGTGGTGCTGCACTCTGATGTTGTAGGAGAAAACATTTATTAAAAAATCTATATTCATTTAAAGTTGCGCATCTTGATGTGACGTCACATTTCTCAACCCCCTTCCCCCTCGTCACACAGCGTCACAAATGTCTGACCCCCACACCCCCTAGGTGCGTGACGTCATTTATGGACGGCCCCCAAGTGTGAAAATACAAAGTGGTTGAATGTGGCGAGGCGGACCTGACAATAATTACCGCACTTGTAAATCTTGACTTAAAGCTTTCGTGACTGCAAGGAATTAATATTCCTTGCGTCTTTCGGTAAGGTCACGTTGATAGATTCAAAGGACGTCTATCTACGTGACTTTAACCGAAAAGACCCAAAGATTACCGCACTGTAATCGCCCGATGACGTCGCTGCTGTCGGAAGAGAGTCCAATGGATGGAGCCGTAGAGCCCTGGGCCAAACATCCACAAGCAGGACCTCCCCTCCTCCTGCAGAGAGAGTCTTGAGACTCGTGGGGTTATCTCCAGATTGGAGTTTCCCACTTCCACCAAGTCTGTTGTTGCGCACGAGCAACCCGCACGTTCTTTGGACGCGACCAGCCACCAAAAATGTATAAGGGGCCGTCCATAAAAAGTCAGACCCCCCCCCCCCTCTCAAATATGACGTCACAAAGCTCTGCCCCCCCCCACCACCACCTCCCAAACTTTTTTGCCATTTTTAAAATAAAACAAACTCAAATCGCTTTAAACTATTGCCATTGCTTTGCGTATTTAATGTGGCGCTGCACTCTGATGTTGTAGGAGAAAACATTTAAAAGTCTATTTAATTAAGTAGAACGTGTTGTCTATATTTATTTTTGATGTGACGTCACATTTCTCACCCCCCCCCTCGTCACACATCGTCACAAATGTCTGACCCCCCCCCCCGCCAGGTGCGTGACGTCATTTATTGACGGCCCCTAACGTTAAAAAGAGCCCCTGCCTCTCCGCCTTTACCTTGCCTTCTCTGTACTGTGCATAATCGCAATTTTTTTCCCGACGTCTCGCTTCGTCTCTGTTCCTCTATCCATCTGTCCTCTCTTCCACCTCTCTCCCTCCCTCCCTCCACCTTGTCTCCCCCACTTCCCCCTCTCCCACTCGCCGCTCCCTCTCGTACTCCTTATCCCCCACCTCTCCCTTCCACGTCGCAGTCTCTCTCTCTATCGCCTCTCTCGGTGACCGCCACTAGCGCACACGCAAATTGCCAGCCAGGCAGTCAGGAATCCAAGCATGAATTCAGCAGGCAATTAATTTGCGTTCTCATATAATATGACTTACATGTATTTGTTTAGGTTGTATGTATAATGCTGTGTTACTGCCAATAATTCATACCGTACAACAAACAGGCTTGTACGGTACTAATTTGCAGTAATTCTTCTTACGTGCGACTATTATTCGATCGACTGCTGTGTCGACCATGGGAGGTTGTTTGACCTTAGTTGCACACATCGGTAAGGGCAGGTTGAAGGAGTAACTACAGGGCCGGTTCAGATATCACTCACCACTGATGATGATGATGATAGCCATGGGACATATTGCATCAACCTGCCCACTATGATTTGTTGTGAGAGGCACTTTGTATCGTCACTTAGCATCTCTAAAAATATATATTTTACCCGATAAGGCCCAATGACCGATATAGCTCTTTTTCAGAAGCGACCTTGTCACAAATGATAGTTCAACGAAGTGGCTTACCGTGTAGAAATGTATAACCGCCAAATATTCTGAACGCATGTTTCTAAATGTGGATGGATTAAACCAGAGGACAGGCAGGAAAATCCAAACGACCGCGGGGAGAACGTGCAAACTCCATACATACAGGTGTCAGGGTCAGGATCGAGCCCACGACCTTCCTGTACACCAGGCAAGGTAGTTAACATCTCGCCAAAATGGCACCTCAGGAAGCCATCGAATGGATCGTCAAACTAGACATGCCAATTCTCAGCTTCCCCCCCCCCTCACCATACGATAGAACATTGATGTGAGCCTGCAATCAAATTCGTTTCGCCAGGTTCATAGTGCACCGCCCTACCATTCCCCTGCCATGTTATCAGTATTTTGGGGGGGGGGGGGTTTCGACATCACAGCTCACGTTCCTATGCTTATGTTTATATTTGCCTTCGTGTCACTAATCAAACAACAGGCTGCAATGTCTGACATCAATGCAAACCGCAGGCGTCCCTGCGAAAGAATGCTGTAATGCACTGACCAAAACGGCCAGACTTTACAAATGAGCATGAGTGTTTTTTTTTGCACAGACGTTTGACATTGCGTGACTGCAGTGTTGATAAACGTGATGTCACGAGAACCAGCAATGATGTAAATGCCATTTATTTACCCAGGAAAGTCACAGTTGCCGAGTTTCAAGACTAGTATTCAAGAGGGTCCTGCATGAGGATATTTGGTCATTTCCATTTTTAATTTGTGTTTTTTTATTTGCTTTTACTTGCAAAACTGTTCGAAGGTTACGGAACACTGACGATGAACCTTGAACTTTAGAGATATGCAAACGTTGTGCATGCAGCTAACTGCGACTTCACAAATTACAACGAAAACCCTTTGTACCCCTTAAATCAGCGGACTCGCTATTATTTATATATTTAACACGCAAACAGTGGCCAAACGTGTGCATGCTTTCCCGGGCTAGAGCTATTGATGTAAAAGTATCTGTTATCACACATCTCTCTGAACCCCACCACGTGAGTTCGATTCCTGGCCAAGGCGAAAATCTGCGGTGGGTGAGCGAAATCTGAACCGCTAATCGCCTCCGATCCCCTTGACCCGTCCTCACTGACCAGCACGGTGAAGTATGGTCAAAATAACAACCCAAATGACTGACACACCATGGGGTGGGTGGGGAGGGGGAGCTTCATCCAGCAGTGGATTTGACAAGGGGGTGTAAATTATTAACGACACTACCTGGATTCCATCACGGCTGACATTTCTTGCAATGGGATCGCTTCTTTGCGGGGTCTCATACCAACTTGCAGTAGAGCATGGGCACAGATAGAGGGTTTGAATTCAATGGCCGTGTTTGCTTTGGGCTGCCAATTTACCTCGCTCCGCCGTGCTTGTTGCTACAATATTACATGACACTCCATGAGTCACAGTGACATTGAACTTTAAAATGACTAACAGCATACACGCGCTGCGGTTGGGTGTTATTTTCTGTCCGCGTGCGTGCGTGTGTGTACTGTTTTTAAATATATACACAGGAACGATCATTGATTACTATTGGGCGCATGCATCGTTCGGTGCAATCGCGCCCAAGCCCAGGAGCACTGAGAACACGAAAGACGAGAGTCCTTTGCGTTGGACAATGTCCAGATGATGGAAAACGTGAACTTCTTTCGCGCCGTACGTAGCCAACCGCGCGAGTCGGAGGGTGCGCGGGGGGGGGGAAGGGGCCGTCCATAAATTACGTCACGCGATTTTGGACGATTTTTGACCCCCCCCCTTCGTCACACGGCGTCACATAAAGTCAGACCCCCCCCCTCAAATATGACGTCACAAAGCTCTGCCCCCCCCCCCAAAAAAAAACATGCTTCAAATCGCTTTAAAGTATTGTCATTGTAATACGTATTTAATGTGGTGAAAACATTTATGAAAAAGTATATTTAATTAAGTAGAACGTGTTGTCTATATTTATGTCTGCCCCCCCCCCCCAGGTGCGTGACGTCATTTATGGACGGCCCCTAAGCTATCATTTTTGATAGCCGCGTCGCTTCTGAAATAGAGCAAGACTGTCTAGCTCAGTGGGCCTCATCACATGCTGAAGTTAAACAAAGTTGAGTTGATCGTTTTTCGTGCGGCAAGGGATTGAGGGAAGGCTGAAGACGAGGCAGGGAAGGGTCAGGAGGTTACTGGGGGGGGGGGGCAAGCCAAATGCAAGGGGAAAATATTTGCAAATAATCCAAAAGTTGCAATGCGTTTAATAATACAAATGAAAGGGTAAATAAACAAAAATTAAGCCACCTGGCAGTATATTGCACACAGGCATAGTGTACACGTGAATAGTGTACACGTGCATAGTGTACACGTACATAGTGTACACGTGTATAGTGTACACGTACATCGTGTACACGTGAATAGTGTACGCGTACAGAGTGCACGCGTTCAGAGTATACACGTGAACAGTGTACACGTGAATAGTGTACACGTGCATAGTGTGCACGTGCAGAGTGCACACGTGAATAGTGTGCACGTGCAGAGTGTACACGTGAATAGTGTGCACGTGCAGAGTGCACACGTGAATAGTGTGCACGTGATTAGTGCCATGATGCAACCAAAGAGGACAAAGAAGGTGCAGATGGGAGCACAGAGCAGGTGTGCACCCATGTGGCTGCCATCCTGCTGGCATTCACGTGTTTCTTTTCGTTGGCGTGTAATGCCACGAAGCCGACCAGTGCCACAAAATGTCATTGTGTGCAGGAGTTACACAACACGAGAGACGCTTTTGACAGCCACATAATTCAAATGGTCCAGAAACTGTCCGTGAAATGTCACAGTTACTTCTCGGCCCAGAAACTCCACATGCGGCCTCCATTGACCTTTGCTAACGTCAAGTTTCCATCACGGTAAGAGGTGTTTGATAGGCATGTTATTGTTGTTATTGTTGTTGTATGGGGGTGAAGTGGTGGCTCAGTGATTCTCGCACTGCACTACGAAGTGGGCAACTTGAGTTTGATTCCCAGCCACGGCTGACGTCAGTGATGAATGAGATCTCCACTGGTTCGAGAACTCCTCCCG